AAAAGTTAAAAATATATTTTTAGATAGGTAATTTTCTTATCTTTCCAATGGTTTAAAACATATAAATCCGAGTTACTATGAGTAAGTTATGAAGGTTTGAAACAACAAGTAAATAAACAAAAAGTTAAGTGAAAATATTTTACCTCAAGGGCAATTTGCTTATAGATCAAGGATTTGAGCCTCACCAAGGCTCACATGTAGTATATGTCAGGTGTCTAGGAGAGGCTACGAGGCCTTAGTCTTATCCTCTTAACTACCTTCAAGGTGCTACAACCCATATGGGTCTTGTGCACCTCCCTTCCTACAAGAATTACACTAGCTGCTGGTCCTTCTATTTTCTACTAGTAAAACTTATTTTTTTGTATTTTTGACTTCACCATGGCGTTTAAAAACACCCAATTAGCTTGTGAACTTAATATGGCCTTCAAATCTTACTCCCTTTCTTCATAATGGCTTCCGAAGTGGTAAAACTCATTTTTACTAAGATCTTAAACCTTACTCTAAAAATTCCTAAAAAAATATAAATAAATTCTAAATAAAATTTGGAAAATCCTATAATATTTCTACAATGCTAATATCTATGTAAGGCTAAATTTTCCTATCTTAGTAATTTTTGATAATAATAAAAATCAATTTAAATCTATTATAAATCTTCTTCTTTTTTTTTTTCTTTTTTTTTTTTTTTATACCAATAACTAAAATGACATGAGGTTCTTTTTCATGCTTCTTCGAACTACTAACATTTATAGTTTTTATAAGTAGTACATATAGATAGAAGATCAAACCCTAAAATCTGGTCTTAATAATTAATTCTTTTTATTCAATAATGAATAAAAATACTAAACCAGTATAGATAATTACCTCTAAGACTTACTAAGACTCCATTTCTACCACTAACACTCTAATTTTCTATTTCTCTAAGGATTTCTATACTACTTACTATATATTATGATTTAAAGCATTTTAAATGCATATTTTTATCTTAAAATAATAAGTGAGTCAATTTGATGACTCACATAGGATCTATCATGAAACATTCTAGAAGAATTAAGGGTGGTTATTTAGGTAGGTTCCACCATGGAACCTTTTAGAAAAGACTTAAGGCTGTTATTTAGATGGAGCCTATCATATAACATTCTAAAAAAGAAGTTTAAGGTAATTATCTAAGTGGAGCCTACTACCTAAGAATATTCTAAAAAATCTAGGGTAGTAGGACAAGGTATAAATCAAACTATCTGAGGCCTTTTAGGGCATCTGGTCAGGTATGGATTCAGATCCTTTCTCTTAGTAAATTTTGGTTTTGTATCTTTTTGTTCAATTCTATTCTATTCTATATTTCCTTCTGCTCAATTATCTTTCATGTCCTATTTTTTGTAGTTCTATTGTCATGATATAATATGACTAATAGGTAAAAGAGTATAGAAATTATTATAATATAAGAGATCTTAGTTCAAAGTATTAGAACAAATTATCTTAGAAATATAGTTAATAGTCAAAAGGGTAGTAAAACTAAAAAATACCAATATTGCCTTTTACAAAATGGCCTTCTACTTACTTTGTTGGACCATAAATAAAATAAAATAAAATAGATTAGAAAAATAAAGAATATGATCATTTATAGGAAGAAGTTAGAAGTTGATTTTAATAAAAATTAACTCAAAAAAAAAATTTTGATATTCAAAGAGGGCCGATTATCAACCTCAGTCAAAATTAGATTCTAAGGCATAAAATTGAGCAACTACGACAACTTTGGGATTATTTTGCAAATTAGAGAGTGGAATTTGATAGTAGACTAAATAAGGTTTTTATGAGCATTTTTTTTGTGTGTTTTGAATTTGTAATGACTTTGTAAGAACTTTACAAAATTAAGTTTGTTTTGGATGACTTGGATTTTGTGAAATAAAATAGAGTTGCCATTTTGGACAATTTCAAGAGTTTTGTAATAGATCTATAAGTAAAATTTTGTGGATTAATGGTTATAGTTGTGTTTAATATGTATTGTGAATTTTAGCTTGATCTAATGGTTGAATTTAGGATTATTGAAGTTTAAGTGGATCAAGATCTTAGAAGGTAGAATTTTAGGTGCAGTGTGGATTTTAAGATTTCTTGCAATCTATTAGTTGGATTGAAGTGAAATTTATGTATAAAGATAGTAGAATTATTTTCCTATGTATATAAAAATTTTGAAATCAATAAAATAGTGAAAAGGAGAGATATTGGCTCTTAGAAATTAGCATCAAGGTCAAAAAAGGAGGCTAGCCAATACCCAAGTACATTCTTGAGGTTATTGTCTATTTGGTAATTTTGATCATTTTCAATTTTTTTATACTTGTTGTTAACTTAATTATTAAGAAGTGTGCAAATTTTGAGTTAAAATCCACTGTTTATTTATTAATAATTGAGGTTTAAATCTGTTATAGGAATTACTTGGGATTGATTAGGATTTGATTTAGGATTTAGGATTTGGTTAGGGTTTATTTTAGGATTTAGGATTTGGTTAGGATTTGGCTTAGGATTTAAGATTTGATTAGGATTTAATTTAGGATTAGATTTTGGTTAGGATTTGGTTAGGATTTGATTTAGGATTTAGGATTTAGTTAGGATTTGGTTTAGGGTTGAAGATTTGATTAGGATTTGATTTAGGGTTGAGGATTTGATTAAGATTTGGTTTAGAATTTAGGATTTGATTACGATTTGATTTAAGATTAAGGATTTGGTTAGGGTTAGGTTTTGAGTTTACGATTTGATTAAGGTTTGATTTAGAATTTAGGATTTTATTAGGATTTAGTTAAGATTTGATTTAGAATTAAGATTTGATTAAGGTTTGGTTAGAGTTTGATTTAAGGTTTAGGATTTGGTTAGGATTTGGTTAAGGTTTGATTTAAGATTTAGGATTTGGTTAGGATTTGGTTTAGGATTGAGGGTTTAGTTAGGATTTGGTTTAGGATTTAGGATTTGATTAGGATTTGATTTAGGTTTTAGGATTTGGTTAGAGTTTGATTTAGGATTTAGGATTTGGTTTAGGATCTAGGATTTGGTTAGGATTTTTTTAGAATTAGGATTAGATTTTATTTAGGATTTTTGTAGGATTTAAGATTTAATTAGTTTTTGGCCTAAAGTTTGATTGAAGTTTAATAGGATTTTAAGTAGAATTAGATTAAGATTGAATTGAAATTTATTTGAGATATATTAGTGATCATTTTAATATTTCTTTAAGATTTCTTATTTTTTCTTTGTAATTACTTTAAGGTTTCTTTGAATTTGATTAAAGCTTGTTTAGCATTGTTATGGTCTAATTAGAGTTTAGTTAGTATTCTATTAGAGTTAGCATTTTGTTGTTGCAATTTCTATTCTACCTTTCACAACCACGTGCCTGGAGCATTCTCAAGCAAGACTTTAGATATTACGATACCATTTAGTTGTGTTTTGGTCTGTTTTATCCTATTTTGTGATAAGATTTTATGTTATAGAATAGAAGGATCTTGGATTTTTGACATAGTTTGGCCTTATTTCAATACCTCTCTAAATGAAGATCTACACATATTCAAATTTTGAGAAAAACTATGAAGTATATAAAAGGAACATTAAACTTTAAATAAAAATATCAATACTTACTTCAAGGTGATATTCTATATGATTATTTTGATGCTAATTGGATAGATGACAAGGATATCTAATGCTCCACCTCTAGATTTTGTTTCTTATTGGTTAAAAGAGTTATCTCTTGAAATAGCAAGAAACAATAATATATCACTTTATCATCCACAAAATCAAAATACATGATTTTAATAAAAGCAACAATTAAAGCCATATGGTTGAGAAAGGTATTACATGAATTTGAATTTCTTCAACATGAATCAACCACCATATATTTAAATAGCCAAAGTACCATTGCTCTTAGTAAAAATCCCAAATATCATTTCAGAAGCAAATATGTAGACACACAATACCATTTCACCAAAGATAAGATCTTTGCTAAAGAAACCAAATTGTAATATGTACCAACCACACATATGACACCAAATGTATTTACAAAGTTTCTTTCCAAAGAAGAAAAATTTCCAATACCTACATTAAATAGGCATGTATCAAGTTCTTCTAAATATAGAATAAATAAAATATTTTCTATCATTCAAGCTTTGCTAATCTACTCAAAACAACAAGATCTTATACAACATCCATATTTTGACATACATCATGGAGTGGGAGATAATATAGTAGGTTAACTTATTCCAAATCCATAAAATATTAAAATTCCAAAAAAAAATCCTATCTATCTAAATTGCAAAGAGACAATAAAAATAAGGCATGCTAGAGACAATAAAAGCTAAAGCAATGCCCTATTGTGGAATTCATAGCTAAGTATGCTATGGAGCTTATCATTGTATTTGTTGTGAAGATTGTCGTCTAGACAATTGCATCTATGATCGACCTTGTATAGATGCTTGCTTTGGAGTTTGCAACTATGCTTGCATTTGTAATATGTCTTTTAGCAGCAATAGTCCCTCCTTCCACAACAAAATGAGAAATGTGTGAATAGCAAACATGAAGCAACAAACAAACATAAATCAATAGAAAAAGTCAAATACCTTCTTAGAATTGAAGAAGTAGTGGGTGAACTCCACAAGAGTTCGCCAACATCATAATATCTAAAAAGAGATTGAAATCCTACATTCCTCACACATATCTATTTTTAAAATGAATGAAATTTTGTTATGGATGAAATCCAATTCAAGGATGAAAATTAGTATCCTAGTGGAAATATTGGAAGAATTATTTTATATAGTACACTAGTCTCATATATAGAATACTATCTACTAAATATTGACCTTACACCAAGAGTTGTGACTCTTGGTGTCACTTTTAGACACAATATATTGTGTAACATACGTATCATGTTTCCAACACCTCCTCATTCCCCATCTTCTACAGGCTAGTTCTACACAAGCAACAGCATCGAGGAAGAAATCTGTTGGCACTCATTGTGACTATGCGGCAATGTGCACACCTGCTTTAAAATGTTGCACTGGAAATGCTTGGTGGTTCAAGAGGTTAATCTGCATAACAACCCAACTGACAAATCCACAGATATCAACAATCCTACAATCGGTAATCTGAAGCATTCTCAAGTTCATATCATGATTTCTCAAGAATTCTGGAGCTCTTTATAAACAAGCTGCAGCACCACACTTGTGTATGATTGAATATCGTGAAGAATCTGAGTTTGCGAGAGTTCCTTGCATGTAACTCTGCTTCACAGTGAACTCCATTAGCCATAGTGAAGCATACTTGCAGACTTTACTAAGGACCTCGGTAACTTTCAGCAAACGATAAAGTTGTGTGCCTGCTGGAATTCAATCACAAATGCAATAGATGAACTGATGGTGCAGTTCATGTGGAAGTTTGCCGTGTGTAGACAGTCCCTAAGTCTCCCTCTAAAAGAACTCGACGTTGTATTTTGATGATGTTGCTGCGAAGACCCACTGGTTAAAAAAAAAAAAAAAAAAAAAAAAAAAAAGGTTGTAACCCTCGGGAATAATTTTGGGTTACACTGCAGTGGCTCCTTGTAATCCTTCGAATGTCCTTCAAAATTATTCACGAGATGATCCCTGAGATCGCCCACTCGGGATTTTGAGTAATCACGTGCAAACTAATGTAACTCATACCTTGGTTTCATGTTGGATTAGGTTGTCTTCAGCGGAGGGTGCGTAAGAATTCCGCAAGGATTTCAAAACCTTTGCAGGTTTCTGGATGAGCTGCCCCCAATCACAAGTTTGGATCCATCCTGCAACATTCATCAAAGCCTGCAGCGCCTTGTTCTCACGAGTAACATGAGTTTCGCAACGACGGGTCGACGCTCATAGTCCCGAACTTCATTGCTCTTCAACACGATGCACTTGAGCAATCAGCCATGTCATCCCGGAACATTTCTGCCAGCCGACGCCTGCCGGATCCTAAGACTGCCAGCTCCACACAGGTACACCAAAACTTCGTGAGGAATCAACCCATCCACATACTCTAATTTGATTGATTCTTCACCTCATGAGACCAAATTATCTTACCACGAATTTTACTGTTTTTGAAATTCAATAACTTCCATTCGCTACTTCTGAAAATGTCGGAAGAGACACACAAGTTTTCTTGCAGATCTTTTGAAACTATGACGCGGTTCCATCAAGTGGTATGTACAAATTATGCGTAGTTGCTGTTAGGATTTGAAGTTTTGAAGTTTTTCAAGAGATTGTCTGATAAGGATAAGGGGGTTCTACATTTCGCCTGGGTAACATCGCCATGTGAGAGGATGATCGGTTGGAGGTGGCACCTGTGGAGCTCACAGTAGCCAGCGATGGACTGTCCGAGATTTCGGATTCCTCTGTTTCACTTTCACGCTGGAGACTAGAATTTTGGCTCAAGTTGGAATGATGTTGTTTGCCCAGCAAATCGACGATCCCCTCGGGGTTGAGCATTTGGGATCGGCAGCCGAGGAGCTCCCCGTATTGTCTCTGGAGCTCGAGAATCTCTCGGGAGCGTCGCGAGTTTTCTTCAAGCAGTTTCAAGCTTGCGTTGATGACTTTTTGCATGATGTGCCGGAGGTGTCGGCCATCGGTGTCGTCAACTTTGGCAAGTTCCTGGCTATGGTGTAGAAGTACGCTCTCGAGAATTTCGGGTTGGCTCAAGAACACAGGATTGTTGAGGGCTCTCTCGTTTACGGATGGGCTAAGCTTGAAGTGATCAATGAGGCTCCACAGCTGCTGTTGCTCTTCGGCAGAACAGTTCGGTGCGGTGGAAATCAGTTTCTCAATGGCGCCATAGATAGTGTCGTGGCAGTCTCGTGCAGACGGTGGAAAGGCCTTGACGAGGCTGATAAATGCATCGACGGAGATGGAGCACTCGTTTGCGTAGAACCACAAGAAACGGTCTACGTCGCCAGCGATCTCTTCCAGCGATTGCTCTGTGTACTCGCCCATGCTGATATAGTACTCCACCAAGGACATTAGAGTGTCGGGCCCGAACTTGTAGTCTCGAAGGTACTCGTCCATCTCGTTCAAGCTCTCGCCAATCTTTTCTTCTAGCATTGCCTTGACGCCTATTAGCCTTTCCTACATACCCACATGGATACACTGTGTTATGGGGCTCAGCAAATCGACGTTGCAAACTTTGTGGACATGTCTTTCAAGTGACCTGGCGCAGGCCAGCGGGTGCTGTTGGTTTTTTTAATCCCAAGCAAGTGTTCGGTGCCTCGGCACTTATAAGAGAATCCAAGAATAAGGCCCTTCGCAATTAGAGTCTATACCTTGAAATAGGAATGGTTTCTGTAGACTTCCAGATGTGAACCTCCGATAGAATATTCAGTCTTGCAACAACGTCACGAATGTTCAATTCCATACACAACTGATCAGTCTACGACATGAACAGGCAGGCTTCAGAGGTATTTCAACTGCCTCCACTCTTGTGAGACATCTTCATCGAAACATACCCTCTGAAGGTCTACAACTATGGCTCAGAAACAGTTGGGGGTTGATCTCCCAGCTCGAGAGACGTGAACCTAATTCAAAGGAAAGGAGAGGAGGATATCAGGTGGTGCCATACCTTGAGAGGATCACCCAACAGCGGCAACAATTGGTCTGCGTGTTCCAGCAAGCTGCACCAGTATTGCGAAGACAGCTCCATCCATGGTCGCTTCGTTGGCGCATTCTTTAGCAGCATCCTTGATAAGCATAAGAGAACGTAGCATCGAGCTTTGTCGCTCTGGCACTCATCATCGATAACACTTTCCAACCATCTGCGTACATTGCGCCCTTGCCGACATTTCAGATTCAAGTTTACGTCGGAGTCTACCAAGGTGTTGATGATCTCCGCTGCGTAAATGTCAGGTAACGAGCAAACTTGGACTAGGAGTTCCGTTAAGGTTTGGCATGCGGAGGAGGATTGTTTGGGGGGGACTGCGGTGAGAGGCCCAGAGATGTACGCCGAAGGGGCGGAGACATGCTTAATCTCGGTGAAGCACTTCACACATGCGGTGGCGAGCACCTTTTGGCAGCGAAATTCCACGTATTCGTCTACGGGAGATCCAATGCGGGTGTAGTTCTGCAAGTAATTCACACAGTACCGCCAGTGCGAGAAGATGTTTGAGTGCATGAATTTTCTCGCGCTTTCTGTCACGTCTTCCATTGCTAGAAACTCGGCTGCCGCGCACACGAGGGCCACGTTCTTCACCGTGAAACTGGGTTTTATAAGATAACACATATTGACAGCTATGGCGAAACCTTCTACTCCACCTGGCCACACATATTAGCAGCATATTGCTAAGAATCCCGTTATGGACAATAGTTCGAAAATCATGTAAGAAAACAATTGGATGCATGTTGAAGACAAAGTTTAATGCTTGGTCATCACTTTGGAGAGTAAACGACATACCGGGAAGATGGTGAATATTAACAAGCTTGCATCCAGTCTTCTCGTCAACCTGCTCGATCCCATTCGACGAGCTCGGTAGATCACGAAAATAGCCGCTCTCATTTCTTAAGGGCAGCATATGCAGCCGAAATTCTTCGCCAGTAACTCTCACAACCACATCACTGTGCTCTCCGGTCTCTCTTACTCTCTGCAGCCATCCGTTGAGACCCACCTTCTTGGCCATTGATCCCTGGTGCTCTTTGTGCTTTTCTGTTTTTAGTGAAATAAATGTTTATTCGCCTTCAGTTTCGTGTTGTGATCCTCCCACCTTTGGGTTTTGTAACCTTCTTGAATCTAGACTGATATGAATCCCTCTTAGCGAAGGAATTCTAGTTTGGAGGGAGTGGGTTGGGCGAGGATCGACTTCTACCTGACAACGGAATGCTTCACCTCAAGTTTCTGCAGCACGTGATAAAGTTCCGGTTCATCTCCATCCATTCTCGCTGTAAAGCTCCGAAAAGTTCTTCGACACAGCGGCTCCCGTCTATTACTCTCGATGCCAGGCTTCTTCAAACCCGCGTGAACTCCTGAAGCTGATTCGCCATAACATTCAAGTGGATTTCCTCACGAATGGCGCCTAGGGGAATAGATTGAAGAACCTGTAAACACCTAGTTCTTTAGACACTGGTTGCTGTTTTTCGGGTCCGACTCCAGGAGCTGGTGAAGGAGTTCTTAATTCTCATATCTAAGAGTTTCTATTACACCTACTTCAACTCCTTTTGAATCCAAGTCCTATTTCAAACGCAACAAGAGCACGCTGAAAACCTTCCTAAGTACGAGACAAAACGGCTTACGGTTATCTGATAACATGTTTTTTGGGTGAACTGAGCATCCTCGGTGTGCAGATTACAAGAGTACCGGCCTTAACCACAAGAAGAAGCTTAAATTCTCAGTAGTAATTACTTGAATTTATTTCAAGAAAGCAATCAATCGTCGAGCACAACTTAGTACGCGACCAAATTAAAAAAGACGCAATCGAAAAGAACAGCTGTGCAGTCACCCGTGAGACCTCAAAGCGACTCTGTAACGCACTTTAAACGATGATTGACGATGCCCAGTAACTGAAAAAATGAAATCACAATCGGAACTCCACAGCTCAATCGCTCGATGACCAGCTGATTACGAACGCCGATGGCTGAGAGACAACTCTCAGGCGATAGAAAACCCTCCCACAAACTCCAAGACTATCCTAGTGTAACTGCACACCGGCCGCCACATTCGTCAGAAACGAAACCAGGAAGACTCTCATAGCACTTTAACTGACACCATGGAGGCCTCCGAAGCAGCAATGTTCGTGGACATGGGCAAAGAGAGAACCGCGAAGGAATCTCGCACTCGACGACGAAGAGGATGCGACGAAATACAAAGCTGAGCAAGCTCGTGTAGGAAGGTTTTTCCATGCCACCATGGGCTTACAAGCGAAGCTGTAAGCCTTGTATTTTGGCTGCGCAGCCAGACCTGCAGTACGTCCAGCCTCTTACACACACGAGATGATGATCTTCCTTCCAGGTTTCTTCAACTCTACTCTGCCTGTCAAGATCTCATCCCATCATGTAGTATACTAACTGGCGCTAGCCGAGCTCGGCGATGGAATTGCGCAAGTACCTGGCACACACAGAAAGGCGCTGCAATCTCTTCTTCTCACGCACCATCAGCGTTGCTTGATTACCAGCTCCCATGACAATCCTCCACCCGTTGCAAGTTTTAGAGGCCTGAGCCACCCTCGTCTCCACCAGTGCTCGCTGCCGATTGCTTCAAGTACTTGTCGATTCATGTGATATCTGCTGGTTTTCTGCCCCCACCGCCCCACCCCAAATTGGTAAACTCGCCGAATCCGATCGCTCCGTGTGGTGATCACGTTTTTCCAGTCACAAGGCTCACCATATGGATCACGAATCCGTATGTGAAACTTCTGAAAAACCCTTGGAAAACTTCATGTGCTCCCACAACCATGTGTCAATGGCCCTTGTTCTGAACCCAATTTTCCATGCCATCACAGTTGCTAGCTTGCTTTTATCTGCAGCTTTGCTCAAAAAACAAACCCAAGTGGTAAATCGCCGCAGCTTGTTGACTCCAGCTGGTTGAATCACCACTGGCGGCGGTTAAAAACTAGCGGAACGATCACCATAGAACCAATTGCTAATGTTTTCCATTGAAAAATCTTCCTCTGATTATATTCCTCATGCTTGTGGCTAGTACCCCTGTTCATTTTACAATTGAGAATGTCTTATTACTTGTACTGTGTGCAGAAGGCTGATTAAGAGTGAGGCTGAGCACTGTCACCATTCTCTCATGCTGTTGATCAAAGGGAATGTCCCTCTAGTACTTCCTTTGTTAGTACACAAAAATGATTCAAGCCCTGCTTAAGAGGTCTCAATTCCATGGGAGACTTTCTTTTCCTTAAACTCTTCATGTCTTAGCATGTGGCTGTAATGGTGTGGACAACGCTGCTGCGTGAAGAAATTGTGTAAATCAGGGTTTGATGCTGCAAGTGCGTATCCGAATGCTGTCACAAACTAGCATTTTTGGTTTTTGGTATTTTGGATAATTTAAACGCTGATATTTTTGGATTTGATGATTTGATACTTCTACATGCCATGATTGTATGTATGTTTTAAAAAGTACAAAATAATTGTAATTTAATTTATTGCCAAAGTTGAAAACAATTGTCAGCATAGTATTGTTTTGTGTGAAAAAAGAATTAGTTTTTATTTCTTTTCGTCTTTATAACTTTGTTCAATACATGTTTGTGGATATCAAACAAAATACGTTTACAAGAACCACAGTGGTATTCACAACATGTTTCAGTTGTAAATGTTGGCAAGTTGAAAGTTGAAAGTTGAAAAGTAACTTTGCTTTTGTTTCAATCCAATGAAAACTCCTTTTCACTCTCAATTAAAATCCTCATTTAAAATGTGTTCTGACATGGTTATCTACGAACTAAAAGATAAAAATTAAAATCTAACAACTACTATTAATAAATTAAAATTTCCCCAATGCATCGAAGATATCCTTTATCGATTTTATTTTGTTTGTTTTTATTCTTATAAAAAATTATTATTGCAGGCGTGTAAGTCTTTCAAAATTAAACTTTGAATGATGATATCTGATGTGCATGATGTAACCCATCTTTATTTTAACTTATTTTTATTTTATTTTAAAATTTAATATTTTGTGATTATGTGATGGTTTGCCAATAATTATGTACTGGCAATGTACATTTTTCGACCATGATTATTGCTGAGACTACAGCAAACTTTATGCTTCAAGCCTGTGCATCCAATCCAGAGTATGGAACATTTAATTAAGTTGCCAGTCATAATGCTCTTCAGTAATTCCATAAACCTCGAAAAAGGCATTTAATGACAAACACATTTTCGATCATTTTATTTTGGATTGAAAAGTTTCAGAAATGCTTTCCTTAGTCTCAAAAACATGTTCGAAATTCTCACAACTTGGTGGAGTTTCTTCAACGTGGTCAAGGAATGCAACTATTGAAGGATGCTAGAATGCTACTATGCATTAATTTCAATATATATATATATATATATATATATATTATAAGTTATTTTTATATCTGTTACATAAGGAAGGACATATTTCACGTTGGAGACAAACAATGAAGAGATGAAGAGGATATGAACGAGTCCTCTTCTTGGCCACTTTTATTTTATCCACCAGAGTACAATTAGAAAGTTAACACCTGATTTTTTATTCTTATTTTATTCTTCTATTTATGAAACTTATTTTGGAAGTAGTAATTGCTGAAGCCAGAGTATGGTCGTTTTTGAATCTTTAGATTTAGGAAATTATAGTGGGTTACAGGAGGAGCATCAGAAAAGGCCCAATTTATTGGAAAGGAATTGGGCTACATGTGTTCCTCAGTCCACTCACCTCCTCTAATATCCTTTATTAAAATGACCTTCAAGAATAAACTGAAAAATCTAATGTATATTTTTAGAATACTAGGTTGATAGTTTCACGACAGGAGAGTACAAACTCTGTCATGTTTCGAGCAAGTTTGTTGACCAGACCAGCCATAGTTACATGACAAAAAAACTTCATAAATACAAAACAAATATAAAAAGGCAAACTTCTAGAATTGTGCCGATATAGAGGAAGCATTTAATCAGGTAGGAACGAGGCCTGGGCAATCAGAACGTCTTCCAGGATTGGCAAAATGACCCATTTCAATACAATTCTTGTCATTTCAGCAGGAATGAATGTAGACACATGATCGAGTGAGTTGAATCATCCTCATGGCAGAAGTCTCAAGCAGAGAAACCAAATCAGGGCTGTTGACATCTTTACACGCATGATTGAGCCAAATCATCTCACAGTAGTACAAGGATTACATGATGCAGTCAAACCTGTTGCTGTGAAAGCTTCTTTGGTTTCACTTGGCCCAGCCGGCACACAATCAGGCTCGAAACGGTGTACAACTTCCAGCTCCTTGAGCCATCGTCACATGAAGCAGGTTTTTTGTGAACAGGCTCTAAAGAAAAAAAAAAAAAAAAAAAAAAAAAAAACTGTGCTCAACAGGAAATGATGCACAAGTGTAATGAAATTGCGCGTCTAGAAAGACGAGATCTAGTGCACTTTAACCGACGCTGGACAGGTTTGAAACTGCGAAAGAGACTACAAAAGTTGCAGAGTCACGCTGCATTTATGTGTCCAGTACCCACGGACCAAAGCTCTGCGCCTCTGCCAACGTACTTGGATTGCGTCACTGTGCAGTTCAGAGGCTTGAAGATCGTCGCCATGTCGGAAGGGCCAGCCGAGCTGCTCAGAGTCACCAAACGTCCATTCCAAATCTCCTTTTCTAGCCGGCTTAAGTCAAGGACGAGGTTCCGTGAGGTGATGAGCTTTGAAGCGGCAGTCTGCAGCTGCTCGGTTAAGTTGCTCCCAGGCTTGTCAGATCTAGACGCAATTTTGAGGAGTTTGAATCTCTCTCGCTTTCTCTCTCTCTCGATAGCCTGGTGTGTGGCACGAGTAGACAGACCGGCACTGTCGTTTGCTCCTTTATGAGCTCCATTCCCACGAAGTGCCTCATCTGGGCTATACAAGCTCCTGGTTATTTCCCTCGCCTGATCCACGAGATCCAATGAGTTCAATACCTCCAGGAGCATTAGCTACTGTCTCTGCGTTCTGCACAGTCTGAACATCAAATCCTGGAAGGCTGTGGTGTATTGACCGTGGTCTTATTGTAATCGGTCTTGCTCGGGCAGAGACCCGGGAACAGTATTTACTCGGTGAGTGGACGTTGCAGGCTTTGAAGGATTCCGAGAGGGGATTGTCGGAGGGTGGAGTGCCATATTTTCAGCTCATACTGACACCGTGCTTTTGAAACCATGGTTTCCGTTGACGTCGCCCTGCGTCAAACTGTGGCTCTACTTGTTGCACTTGTTCGGCCTTCTGAAGAGGAAGGAACAGAACAGAAATGGGCCTCTACTGTTGAGGACTGCACAGGATTGGTATAGAAAGTTGACGGATTGTTGAAGAATGGGAAGCGCAGGGCAGAGTCAAATCCCGTGATAGTCTACGCACCCACTACAAGGTCAGTGAAATATGTAAAAGGCATGTCTGTAATGTTGTACATATTCTAACTTTCGCTTGTAAGGACTCAATGTACAAATTCGCTCCGGCTTCGACCCTAACTCATCAGCTCATCTACTACTTAATAACTCTATCCTAATTCATACGCTGATAACTTCACTACAATCATGCTTGACTCATGAGCTTAGACGTACAATCGTGCCGCACTGCTATATGTTCAGTACATTTCAGGTTACATTCACCAGCAGTGCCAGTCAAAGCTAGTCAGCAATAAATAAGCACAGAGTAATTGACTGGTTGTGTGAGTCTCCAGAATAGGGCCAACGATTCAACTTCGAACGAGTTAGAAGAGACCAATTCGACTGTGGTGGAGTCAGTTCAGAGGCTCTGGAACGCAGTTAGTGGAATAATTCAGAGGTTCATAGCGACCCTTCCGACTCTCAGATCTCTGCAAAAATCACCGCGATTGTAAAGCCAAACACAATTCTGGAGAAACCAAGACTATGAACTAGGGATCCAGGTGACATGGTGAGGTGATGGTGATTTGAGTGCTAAATTAAACTCAGCCCATTGTCAACGACTGACGCATGAGCTAAAACAAGTTAGAACAGGAACCCAATGCCACCGTGTCTTTATCAATGCTTGCAGGTGGGGTTACTTGAAACAAAATCGGCCAAGCCCAGTCGCCAGCGCTGCGATCGCTGAGCAGTTGCGCAATTTCGCAACCACCCGATCATTTTGTCAATTTTCAATTGATTGTTCATTTCCTGGACTTCATAATCAGTATCAAGGGCGGTACGAAAGCCCCATATCTTCATGCATCTCTCTGTCGACTAGTACCACGACCCAACCCCACAAGTCCTGAACTCGGAGGTTGGTGCAGGCCAAGAGGCATAGGAAACGGAAACACCCACCAACAAAGGCACCAACGCCATCACATGCAACTTCCCTCAGGATCCACTCCAAACCATGCCGGTCCTACAAACCAGGGCCCGGGGAGCTCAATGATCCGGCTCTACTGGTGTTCGCAGCACTCTCTGAAAATGCACAACCATGGTGTGGCTCGACACAGCTTGAAGCCAGTTTTGTGCTAATCATCCGATCATGCTCATCATGTTGTTGTTTTTGTTGCAGACAAGTGCTATGGCCCTGTCTGCCGAAGGTCCTGGCATCAGTGATTCCGAGTGGATATGGTTGCTGCCGACCTCGTTCATATCGATGCACTTACTTTGACGTTTTTCTCAAGCTCATGATACTAGAGTTTCTCGGCTGACAAAACCCCTGGCAATCTTAAGTGTTCTTATTTATGTGTGTGTGGATATATATATATATATATATATTTAATACTGCAAGTCCTGTAAACGTCCAATGCCTTGACAGGTAGGCCATTGGAGTTGTCAAATGATTGTGAAGCCATCCATTTAGTGTCAGATTGCCTAACTATTGGACAGTAGTTGATACATGTGTGTTTGTATGTAAATATTTATCTTGGCAGTTTCGATAGACCGTCCAAAGTTGGATCTTATTGTTCT